GTATCTATAGAAATATTGAATACAAGTCTAAAGAGGTTATAATTTCATTGTATAGGTCACTGGTTAGGTAACATTTAGAGTATTGCGTTCAGTCTTGGGATCCATAACTTAGGAAGGACATTGAATTGCCAGAAATGGTTCAGAGAAGGGTTACTAGAATGGTGCCTAGGATGGAGGGCTTGTCATATGAGAAGAGGTTGAGATCTCTCAAATTGTTTTCTCTTGATAAATGAAGAGTTAGAGGAGCTCTAATTGAGGTGTTTAAGATCGTAAAGGGAATTGATAGTGTTGATGCATCACCTTTTTTCATACTTAACAGTGAGAATAGTAGAACTTTGGAATACAAATATAAATTTTGGCAAGGTAGGAGTCATCTTCAGATAAGACTTATATTCTTCTAACAAGGTGGTGTACCACTGAAATGGGTTGCCTTCAGATGTTGTGGAGGCAGTAAATTTAAGTGAGTTTAAGAGAAAGCTTGATAAGTATATTAATGATAAGGAATGGTTTTAAGATTTTTTAAAATAAATTTATTAATAGTTTTAGTTTAGTTTAGAGGATGGGACAGCCGAGACAGACCAATAGGTCCCATATCATCCAAAAACATTATGTTATGTTATATGAAAGTTAAAACAAAAATTATGGCCCCAATTGAAAGAATAAATCAGAATATACTGAAAGTTTGTCTTAAGCATTCAACAAACTTATGAAAATACTAGAAAATGTAGTGACTATCAGTACGTACTCAGGAAGAGCTTCAGACTTGGTGGTAATTTTACAGATGTTTTAGATAGATAAACACTGTTTTTTTTACAAGCATGTAATATACATGTTATTCACCACAATAAAATCTAGCTGAGTTTCACCATAAGAGAGAGAATACGACATCATCACATATAATCAGCATCACGTAATTATGCATGTCGCAGCTGACGAGTTTAAAACGGAAATCACTCAAACTGAAATTAAAGCCCTAAAAAAAGATTACCTCATAAATAAGCTTCAAATGGGGTACACATACATAAGATTTATCTTTACAGTCACCAACATACCTCTGCTACTTTGTTGCGTACTGCACTAATGATGTTTTCCAAACATGGATTGATATCAACTCCTTTCACTTCACTGGACGATGGGGAAGTGACTGTAATCAGCTTACCCATAAGTGACAACTGATTGTGTAAGAATCTCATACGACGAGACTGATTGCTCCATGACACTGCTGGCCCATTCGGTGTCACTATCAGAAAAGGGTTGTTCGGAAGTCGTTTCTAAAATCATAGTTTTATCCATTAGATAATGTCTAAATAATAGATGTGCCACTAGTTATTTGAAATGAAATTTATGCAACACACTATCTGATAAACAAAGGAAAATGTATCAACAATATGAGAAATAAACTATTACTGTCAATTCAACTAAAGAACATTAAAAAAATATGCAACAAAACCTAAAAACACAATTTTAACTGTTTTTCTACATTAGTTGAGTTAATAAGATTTACGATGCCTACCACAAAATGTGTGACTACGTATAAACTGCTGCACATATCTCAGACTAACTTTTTGACAAGTTATCTACAGTGAGTGTAGGCAAGTTCTAAAATAGGAACTTTAAGTTGGCACATCTCTGAGCTAACTTTAAGTTGACACATCTCTCAGCTAACTTTAAGTTGACACATCTCTTCCCTAACTTTAAGTTGACACATCTCTTCCCTAACTTTAAGTTGACACATCTCTCACCTAATTTAAGTTGACACATCTCTTCCCTAACTTTAAGTTGACACATCTCTTCCCTAACTTTAAGTTGACACATCTCTGAGCTAACTTTAAGTTGACACATCTCTTCCCTAACTTTAAGTTGACACATCTCTTAGTTGACTTTAAGTTGACACATCTCTTAGCTGACTTTAAGTTGACACATCTCTTAGCTGACTTTAAGTTGACACACCTCTTAGCTAACTTTAAGTTGACATCTCTTAGCTAACTTTAAGTTGACACATCTCTTAGCTAACTTTAAGTTGACACATCTCTTAGCTAACTTTAAGTTGACACATCTCTTAGCTAACTTTAAGTTGACACATCTCTTAGCTAACTTTAAGTTGACACATCTCTTAGCTAACTTTAAGTTGACACATCTCTGAACTAACATTAGCCTGTATTAGAATTTTCTGATTATTAAACAAAAACTGCCCATCAGCAGGATGGCTAATCTCCCTGAGCATTATTGTTTTGTTGTTGTTTTTGTTTAGCAAGTTAATAAATAAGGTATGTGTGTGTGTGTGTGTGTATGCACATGCACATTTTGTATGTTTTCTTCGGTATAGAAACTAAATGTCTATTTCATGATATAGTAAACTCGATCTTTGACCCCAAATCATGGTTCTTTCCCATGTCTAAGGGAAATGACCTGTGTAGTTTGATTAAAATCAGTGCATTAGAACTGTACATTAGCATACAGAAAGTAGATTTCTATATCCCCTCAAACTTTTAAGCATGGGGGGGATAAATAACTAAACAAGATATCTCCTACACTATATATATCATAATGAAACATGCAAAATAATAAAAAAAGCACTTTCATCTTGCAAATCCTTTGTAGTTGATCTGTATTTATTTCCACTGGATTTGCGTTTCTCAAGCAATCTACCAACAGTCATTCAAATGTCTTTATAATGGAATGATGAATATCAACACTACAGGTAACAGAAAGCTTAGACTAAAAATATAAAACCCAACTTTGTATCATAAAATAACTGGATTTGTTTAGGACTGTCAAATCTCTCAAAGTTAAAACATTTTGATTCACAGTCCTAACTCTCTAATGTTAACTTGTATGAAATTTTAATGTAAGAAGTATTCAGAACTGATGACAGCTAACTTAAAAAATGTGACAACAAGGGGTAATGTCTACTTACAATAAAGTCACATAATTACTACACACAGCTGACTCTCTTTCAAAAACTCATTCACATTAATGGAAATTACTCTATGAACTTTCTGTTAATAGAAATAATTAACTAATATTAATTAATAATTAACCCCTGGGTATCCTTTACTCTGCATAACACAAGGTTTTAGTGTCTTACATTTTATTATACTACTTTTTGTTTATGTTGTACCAATTAGTATAACATAAAATCTTAGCTAATAATCCCTATTTTAATAGCATACAAGTTTTAAGTTCTTAATTCTATAAGGCAATATTTTGTTTGTTTATTTTTAATTAAGCATAAAGCTACACAATTGGCTGTGCTCTTCCCACCACGGGTATTGAAACCCAGATTCTTGTGTTGTAAGTCCACAGACATACCGCTATGCCACTGGGGGTGGCAATATTTTAAAAACTCCTGAATTTCCATTAGTGTGCTCCACGTAACACATTTTCTCTTAACATGTCATCATCTCTATTTTATCCACCACCCCTCAAAAAAGTACGAAGTTAAACATAAAATAATCTCTATAAAATCGTTATATCAAATTGACTGATCCCATTTTGAGATAGAGTACAGAAAATAACATATAAACTATAAAGTTTTACTGAAAAAAAATGTTTGAAATGCATTTAGGAGCTTTTAGGGATTACACAATAGAAATTTGATATTTTTGAGATAACGAAATATATTTTTAAATTTAACATGAAAATTACTTTGCACACAGACTATTCAAAACAAATACTCAATATGTTCATGGATAAATCTTTATTTTATTAAAAATACTTCACTAAAAAAAGTATGATTTTTGTATGTGAAAGACTTATAATATGAACTAAAAGACAGCCAAATTTTGTGAAGATATACACTATATTGAATATTAGAAGTATTAAATCTATAAAGACTTTGAATGAGTACAAAGAGGTCACATGGTCAGTAGAATTGACCAAGCCCATGTTGAGAGAGTTAACCCTAGAACACAGTATATTTACTTAAAAGATAGAACATCACAATACTTACAGGTTTGTGCAAGTTCAGCATGTGTAGTACAGGGTCCCATGGTCTTTTCAACAGAATGTTAAGAGCGTCACTACTTGTTGGTCCTGACTGACACACGGGACTAGACTGGATATGATTCATAAACCTATCCATCAAACTTGGAACCTATTAGAAAGGGTCACATCAAACAATGCCATTTTCAATAAGTGAGAAGTTCTAACCATTTGACCTAAATGTATGTTTTACTTATTTATTTATACCTTTCATAGATTAGTAAAACCCATTTAAAATGATTCCAGGTTCAACTCTGCTGCAGTACAAGTCATTCTTGGAAGTATTATAAAGTTATCAAATTCCAAAAATGCACTCATGTACTCTATTATTCTTGTTTGTTACTGCTATTATACTTTAAATGTTACCAAAATTTACATGTTGTTTTCTCACTTTTTGTGAGTGAATTTAAAACAAACATCATATGTGTAATACAACCTTACCTTTAAGAAGAACAGACTAGCAATGGCTGGAACAAGACAATTAACATACTAAAATAAATTATAAGGTGCAGATATGTCATTTGTTTGAAAATGAGAATACCAAATTTGGTAAAATTAAATTAGATGACAGAGTCACAACTGGAATAAACCCAGTTTCTGATAATAACAAGTTGGTTAAAAATATGCAGTACTTGAATAACAGAAAAGTATAAGGAGGTCTAAGTTCAAATATGCATCTTCAGGTAAGTATTCTAATCAAACACCAGGTTTACATCTCCAGGTAAGTAATCTAATCAAACACCAAGTATACATCTCCAGGTAAGTATTCTAATCAAACACCAGGTTTACATCTCCAGGTAAGTATTCTAATCAAACACCAGGTATACATCTTCAGGTAAGTATTCTAATCAAACACCAGGTTTACATCTCCAGGTAAGTAATCTAATCAAACACCCGGTATACATCTCCAGTTAAAAATTCTAATCAAACACCAGGTTTACATCTTCAGGTAAATATTCTAATCAAACACCAGGTTTACATCTTCAGGTAAGTATTCTAATCAAACACCAGGTTTACATCTCCAGGTGAGTATTCTAATCAAACACCACGTTTACATCTTGAGATGAGTATTCTAATCAAACACCAGGTTTACATCTCCAGGTGAGTATTCTAATCAAACACCACATTTACCTATTGAGATGAGTATTCTAATCAAACACCAAGTATACATCTCCAGGTAAGTATTCTAATCAAACACCAGGTTTACATCTCCATGTTTATAACCAATAGAAAGGTTTAATTCTCTTATTATTTGAGGATCTCGGGTTTGATTGCTATCACCATTAAACTTGCCCGTTTTGTTTTTGTTATCACAAAGCTAATAAGGCCATTTTCACTAATTTTGAGCTGTTGATTAACCTATAATTGCATAACTTTTATTTAAATTGGGGGTGGGGGGTCCATGATACCACCCCCAAAAAAATCTGTATTCTAATGTTGTATAAACAGGTTTGGATCTGGGCCAAACCCCCAACATTTTTTTTTTCAGGAATTAGTAGCTACATTATTTAATATTGTATAAGTAGGTTCACACCTAGGAAAGAAGGTAGGGGTCTATTGGGTCCACCCTCCCCCCTCTAAAACCTCAATTTGTGTCTCAGGAATTAATTGTATAAATGGGGAAAAAATTAAAATTTCAATGGAAAGTAGGGATTGTTGGTTATTCGTACAATTGTAATAAAAAGTACACAAACAAGTGATACTAGTACAGATTAAAATCGTTTTAAAATCTATCCAACTAGTATTGCTTTTCTTGTTTGTGTACTTTTTATTGCAGCATTTGTTTTGTTTTGGACACTTCTTATAGCAATCCTACAAATAACCAGCAATCCCTACTTTCTGTTAAAAGTTTAGTTTTCCTATTTATTTGTAGCAAGATCCCTACTTCATTTCAAAATTCATAATTTTTTAATACTGTTACGTCTCTGGTCGTTAGTTAATTTTCCGTAAAAATTCTTTACGAAGAAACTTTAGCGA